GGGGGGGGCGATCGGTTGAGGTGTGTGTCTGCGTGTGTAGGGTTCTCCAGCACCAGTCCGGGCATGTGATTTGGAAATTTGCTCCCTCTTTTCCTAGATAACTCTTACTCATCCCTCAAAACTCATCACAAATATCTCCTCCTGTAGAAAATCGTCACTGTTCCCCTGCAGGACTTCCCCACCTTCTTTCCTAGAAGCTGTGGGACTGGGGGTGTCTGTTACAGGCTCTATTTTCTCCAGACTGGGGTCTGAGGCTCCAAGGCCCACACAGGCTGGGCACAGAGATGACAAAGAAAGTATGCCTAGTTGAATTATGTCTTGGGGGGCATCTGTGTGTGCCTGCGCATCCATATGTGTGACTGTCCAGACAACCCCTATCAACCTTCCCCTCCCACACAGATCTGGACACACAGGAGGTGTTCAAGCCAGACTGTGGTTGGGTCACAAGACACAGAGTGAAGAGAAGATGAGGGGATGTGGAAGAGACAGGAGAGGAATCCAGGGAGCTGGAAGGGTTTGAACTCAGGAAGTTTCTGTATTGGAACAACAAGGCTCAGAGAGGAGCAGGGCTTTCCCCAAGGCCACCCAGCAAGTATATGCAGTGTCCAACCTTGGATGGCACTTCTAGGCTTTTGCCACCTCACCTGGGGTGGCCAGGGTTCTTAACCCTGATGGGGTCTCAGGGTTGCATTACATCTTGCTTCATGCCAAGAGCTGGCCCAAGTTTTTCCATGGATCAGGAAAAAGATGAAGTAGAGCGAGCCCCTAATGAGGTAGAGGGCAGACAATGAGGGACATCTTGGACAGAACCAATCCCCTCCCAAGAGGGACAGAGACATAGAGTAAGGACAGAGAAGGAGGGAGAGCTTGAGATGGAGGCTCAGAGATGGGGAGCTACAGACAGGGGAGAAAAGGCAAAATAGGTGACCTAGATGGAAAAGGGACTGGCTTTTCTGGCTCTCACCGGTCTCACCTAGAAGGATTTACCTAAAATGAGGAGGTACCTGGCCATGCCCTCCAATCTCTGACTCAGGCACCAGAGCCTGAAACCTCACCATGCCCTCATCAGAGATGCAAAAAAATACTTAACACCCAACTAGAAATCCTTGGGACCTCAGAGACCTTTTTGTCCCCAATGCCCAACTCCTGCGCTGTCCATCTTGCAGATGGGGACACTGAGGGGCAGGACAGAGCAGGAACATCTGGAGTCACCCCAAACTCTGCTGTCTGGGTGCAGAGGAAGGGGAGCTCACTGGGGACTTGGTTTGTATCACGACCCTGTCTGCCGCCCAAACATCCTTTCCTAAGAATTGTCCAGGACCAAAGTTGTCTTCGCTGACACGTGTTGCTTTTCTCTTTGCCTTTTATTTTTTTTTAAAGAGAGAAATCCAGTTGACGGTGTTGAGTAAGACTTCCCCCCATCCCCTGTCC